TAAGGAGCATTGTTTGTCCTAATTTTTGGGTTTTTGATTAATCCTATAAGTTAATGTCTTCTGTTTGGTATTTTAGGTTGGTCAGTTGAGGGAGGTGTCGAATAAGGCACATAATGCAGAACTAAAACTGTTCTTGGAAGTTGAGTATGGACAGGTAATGTTGTTCTATTAACTATTGTTTTAAGTTTTTAAGATAGTACATTTTTTGTCTTATCATATTCCTTTACCTCATTTTGTGTGATAACTTCAGGATTTACGTCCTTTTCCACCACCGGATAAATCAAGGGAAGATATTTTGCTTTTCTTCAAGCTTTATGACCCGGAGAAAGGAGAATTACGGTATCTAACTTTTCCACTTTATCTTCTATATTCTGTGTTTCCTCATACTTTCTGACGTTGCACTTTATTCCATTGCAGTTACATTGGTAGGCTCTTGGTGAAACTTTCTGGTAAGCCAATGGAATATATAGCGAAGCTAAATCAAATGGCTGGCTTTGCTCCTGATGAAGAAATAGAACTTTATGAGGTTTGTTACTGCTTAACTGTGTTTGCAAACATGCTTCAATAGTTTTTCTTAATCAAATTATCTTACCTGTTGATTTTTGCAACTTTTAGGAAATAAAGTTTGAGCCTTGTGTGATGTGTGAACACCTTGATAAGAGATGCTCATTCCGGTTAAGTCAGGTATGTTTTGCTTTAGAACATACCCTCTTTTAATGTAAATTCCCAGTGACACTGTCATTGCTTGCAGATAGAAGATGGGGATATCATATGCTTTCAGAAGTCTCCTCCTATTGAAAGTGAAGGAGCATGTCGGTATCCAGATGTGCCTTCATTTCTGGAGTATGTGCATAACCGCCAGGTAGTCTACTGAAACCTATTAATATGTGGAGACTTGCCGAATCTCTTATTGGTATTTTGCAGTTTTTTTTAACTGATTTTATCAGGAGGCTTATAAGTGTTCACATTATACCCTCTGTCCTCATTCCTGTGAAGCAATGGAAATCCACGATTTCCACCCTGTTATTAATTTTATAAAACAATATGTAGAAGATCTAGTACCAGAGAGGAAAAGAGATATCTGTGCTCAGTTCCTGTAATATTCTCTTCATTGACATGAGATCTTTCATTCTTTCAGGGTGTTAATTAATTGTTGGATCTTAAAAGGAAAGAAAGATCTACCATATTGATAGTTGTTTATGTTTAATTTAATCAGCTGGTTAACCAGAAAGCTTTCATCCTTTGGATTTGTTCAAGACAAGAAACTGCATGGAACCTAAGAACATAGCTTCCATAGGCAAAAGGTTTTAGACTGTTTTTAGAGAATTACCAGCCACATTCTTGATTCTTCTCTCCTAAGAAGCATGCCTTTGTTATTATTGTTCTTTTCATTAGGCCTGATTCAGTTTGTGCTCAGATTCTTGTAACTCAATTAAGTTGTTTCTGTGATTTGATGATACTTAGATTGTTCGTTTTCGATCTCTGGAGAGACCAAAAGAAGATGATTTTTGTCTAGAGTTGTAAGTACTTCTAATGCAAACCACTGTTCTAATAATACAAAAATAATTAGTTACTGTTGTCAGATACTTATACTCCATTTCTTCTATAACATTCAAGGTCAAAGATACATACTTATGATGATGTTGTGGAAAGAGTGGCTGGCAAAATTGGTCTGGATGACCCATCCAAAATCAGGCTCACATCTCACAACTGCTACTCTCAACAACCTAAGCCTCAACCTATTAAATACCGAGGAGTAGAGCATCTGTCGGAAATGTTGATCCACTACAACCAGGTAGCCCATATGGGTTTGACATCTTGCTATGTTTGTTCCATTTATGCAAAATATACATTGACTGATTGTTTGTGCTTCATTTACAGACTTCTGACATTTTGTATTATGAAGTTTTGGATATCCCTTTGCCAGAATTGCAAGGTCTGAAAAACCTGAAAGTTGCTTTCCATCATGCTACTAAGGATGAAGTAAGTGTAGAATCTGTATTTATTCCTCCTCAATTCCTTCTTTCTTTTAGGATCATTTGATGTTTATGGGCCTTTCTGTAAGAATGTGTAACATGATTTTCAGGTGCTAATTCACAATATTAGATTGCCTAAACAGAGCAGCGTAGGAGATGTGATTGATGTGCTTAAGACAAAGGTAAGTTTTGCTACTTCTATTTTATATTCTGAATACTTGATGCCAAGAAGAGATGGTTAGTGTTATTAACAATGAGGGACGCCTGTGGCTTTGTTTTTGCAGTGACTGTCTCTTGCTCTTTTTTTTTTTTTTTTTCCTCGACGAAATCATTTCCTAGTCCCCTTTTATTAGGGGAAAAGTAACTATTGTATGAATATGCATTTGAGAACCAACCAGAATCTTGCACATATTTTCCTTCTCAAATGTATGATGGATCCTTACACTATTCTATCGATAGTGTCTTAATGCATAATCTCTCATCCAAGGCAGTATTATCTTTATTGACTTCTCATACAACTCGAAGTTCATACTGAGTTACAGCTTTGCTTTTTCTATTCTGCACTATGAAACAGGTGGAGTTGTCACACCCTAATGCAGAGCTTAGACTGCTTGAAGTCTTCTATCACAAGATCTATAAGGTAGAAATTGGTTGAAATTTGATCGCTAGTTGCAATTTTGTATATAAATATATTTACAATTGAATTTTAATTGTCCTATTTGAATGACAGATAAGAGTATGCTTTTCTTGTGACTCATTGTTATTCTGTCTCATGTGTTTTCAGATCTTTCCGCCCAATGAAAAGATTGAGAACATAAATGATCAGTATTGGACATTGCGTGCAGAAGAGGCAAGTTTTCCTTTTTCCATCCTGTTGTAGCTGAAATTTCATGGCTAAAATGCCCTTCAGACAATGTTATTTTTGAAGTTCATAGATGAGAAGGACTGTTCTATATTGAAATTATAGGGGTATAGCTTTGGGAATGGTTCATCAAAAGCATAAGGAACACATTCTCTTGTTTGTACCTGAATTTTTCTAGAAGGGACTGCCAGTAGCATGTACCAGCTGTCTATATGCACAGTTGAGTAGATGTAACTGGCAGTCTATCATCTTCTTACCTATATTTTAAGGAGAAACCTGTAAAGTGTTGTGTATGTTTGAGTGTTTATGTGTATCTAGTGTGACATGAGACTGACAGTGGAATGTTTTGAATTTCAAAATGGTTGCGTGCCATTGATGAAGTGACCTGCATATTGGACCAAGTGCCCGTTACTAAAGCTTGGTGGTATATTTTAGATGGGAAGTATGGCATTCTACTAATCTATATCTTGCCATTATAACCTCTTTCCTTTTCTAGTTATTCATTCAGATATTTTGTTTTTCTTGACTATTTTCATCTAGCTATGGTGCTAAATCTAATTTCTTAGGAGTTTGTTCATGATAGAATCAACATCTCTGATCTTTCGTTATAAGTTTCTGCAGCATCTATTAACAGAACTAACCTTTGTCATTTTTATCAAATCTCAGATTCCAGAAGAAGAGAAGCATCTTGGTCCCCATGATCGATTGATTCATGTCTACCACTTTACCAAAGAGACTGCCCAGAATCAGATGGTATTCAATATGAATGAATTGATAAATATTCATGATCTGTTTTGACTGAGATATTTGGTGGAAATGGCTAGCTATTTAACACAATTTGCATGTTCTAAGAATTTATGTTTTGTTTTTTTATTTTTCAACAGCAAGTACAAAATTTTGGTGAGCCCTTTTTCTTGGTCATTCATGAAGGTGAAACTCTGGCTGAAGTTAAAGTGCGGATACAAAAGAAATTGCGGGTGCCTGATGAAGAGTTCTCCAAGGTATTTTCATGCTTATCTTACTCATCTATGCTTTCTTTATGTTTTACTTTTCCTCCCTTAACTTACAACTTTAGCATTTTTATTCACTTGCTCAATGCCTTTCATGCATGTACACACTATTATGTATATGGAATCCTGAACTCAGTTTTTGATTCCCCTCTCCTGATGTTTTTTCCATCTCCTTGTTCAGTGGAAGTTTGCATTTTTGTCATTGGGTCGACCAGAGTATCTACAGGACTCTGACATTGTGTTTAATCGTTTTCAGGTGTGTCTTGTCGTGGTTTCTTCATTGTGTTTCTGTAATCACAGTTGATAACTATGTTTTTAGAATCTGTTTTAATGCAAACTGGTGTTTTAATTTATTTTTGCATACTATTCAGAGAAGAGATGTTTATGGTGCTTGGGAGCAATACCTTGGGTTAGAGCATTCTGATAACACTCCTAAGAGGGCTTATGTAAATCAGGTACTACAATATTGTTAACTACAGTTGATCCTCACGTGCTATGCGATGTAACACATTTTCTAGTATGTTTTATCACCATATTTTTTATATTTTCTCCCCATCACAGTTCTAATTGCAAGTTGGCATGTAACTATTGCAGAACCGTCACACATTTGAGAAACCAGTTAAAATATACAACTAGTAGAAAGCTAATAATCCATTAGCACATCAGTTGATATGGAGAAAATGCATAGGGAGTGACACATTGGAGGAAACAGTTGAAGCTTGCTTGCTTAGAAAGAATTTATGTAGAGCTCAGTTATTGTTTTGTAGGATATATATATTTATATATTTTTTAGATTTCATGTGGAAGGAGAGGGAGAGATTTATCTTTGATGTAGTGTTTCACGCTGTTGATACACACCTAGTATGAGCTATTGCCTTTGTATGTTTCTTGCCACCTCCCCCTCGATTTGAGAGGTTGCTGTCTTGTGTAATTTTAGCAGTACATATGAAGATTTTGATGGGATGTATACCGGGTAGAGTTGGTTGCAGATGACAATTATTTTTCACCTTTTTTTCTCGTTTTTATTTCACGTCCTAGTGGAGAGTTTGTGGTTAATTTCTGGAATTTTAGTGTACAAGAAATGTATTATCCTGCAGTAGCCCTTCTTTTTGAAGTTGTTATATAATTTATATTTATGAAATATTGATTCCCTTCTCTCTCTCTCTCTCTCTCTCTCTCTCTCTCGCTCTCAAGCTTAGTTTGAATGGATTTTCAAAGCTTCAAATGAATAATAGTACCTTGTGAATTGGAGGTACGCTTAAACCTTTCAATTGAAAAACAGACTGGCATAATCTTTAATCTTTCATCGCTTTCAATTAAAAAAAATTAATGGAGAAATCGATAATACAATCATTTTTATTGTGTTACACGACAAGCAGCAGATTAAGCCTATCACATCAGATCTAATTTACAGGACTCGATAAGAAATCAGCCCATTAATGGTCTCTACGACAAGATGATTCATGCGCACCAGTAGTAGCAAGTAAGCTCGTCCTTTAGGCCCTGTAAGCACCAAGCGGCACCAATGATTTAGATATAAAGAATTTACATGGTGTATTGATTTTTCTACAAAGCAACAGACTATCCTAAGTTGAGGAATATATTTGGAAGTCATGTAGGACTTTAAATGAGTTAATTTAGGCCATGCTTTGATCTAACGCCAGTACTTGCCACTGCAATGGAATATAATCAATAGAAAGAAATTGTAGGTCGCATTGCGTTACCCAAATCCAAGGATTCAATTTCATCTTGGTGGAAATAGTTATATCCTTTTGTTTTCTCTTTCTTGCTCAAACTGGAGTTGATCTTCTCAACAGCAGCCAGCAGATCCTGAAAGCCCACAGATAACCGAGAAAGCTTTTTGGATTAGATGACTATCAACCCAGAAACATTACAATTTCGTTGTAAAGAATTTTTTAATTAAATAAATTAAAGGATTGTCATATTTAAAACACTTCAGATTATCAGCAGCCAGAGAGAGCTTTAAATCAATAAAAATCGTCATTTCACCTTTAGCTGCACAAGGTTTGGTTCATTCATACAAGAAAACATTTAAGCATCATACAAGAGACATAACTTCCACTTCCTTCAGCCCATAATATATTTTCTTAGCAGAATGTCAAGAAGGAATAGTTTCAAGAACAGATTGTTATCTGTTTTTAGCATTTTAATTCTGCCCTTTCAAGCTTCCAAAATTTACCATGCCCCCTATAAATATGAAAAGAGTTCCAAGAAAACCTTCTAGGTGTGGCTCAATCATAAGACACAACTCTTTTTTCTTTTGAAAGATCTATTATTTCAAGTTTAAAACAGAAGTTGAATCCCCAAAAACTAAAAACATAAACAGTATAGGAACATGGGATGGTTCACCCATCTCCAATGGTGATGCATTCTTGCAAGGCGGGATCCAATCCCCAACACCTGCAACTTCTCATTCCCTAATTCCACTTTGGCCTCATTTGTACCAAATAAATAAACATGAACAGCATAGTACATACCTCCCATGATGCTAGGCTTGTCATATATGAAGGAAGACTGTCATAAGCATCCTTAGATACTTGTATTACAGGCCTCAGCACTTCAATTGGATTCAGGTCAATTTCCATTTCTCCTATATTTCATGGTGTATAATAAATAACATAATACAGGTTAAAGCCCATTATTGCTAGTCATAAACCCTACAAATGGAGAGACCGGCAAATTAAGCATAGAAAAACTCAGTAATTTCCACCTTTAGTTAATTCGAAGGTGTCTGTAGCACGCTCATATGTACCCTCGATCTTAATAGGTTTATGTCCATTGTATCTGCAATTTTAGGCTCAGAGAGAGTTGTAAAGAAATAAAAAGAGGACCAGAAAAAGCGAAAGAGGTCCTTATACAATATAAAGAACGTTCAAGACTCCAAAAGCTTACTTCATGTTTTCTCCAAAAGATAAGTCAGAGTCATCAGTCTTATGATCAGCTGTGGAGAGAGAGATAGCATTAGTAGAAGCAAAAATAGTGGTGGCAAAGCTAATTCTATACTAATAGATTGAAATTGAGTGAATAATTCGAAAACCTAATTCATCTTCTATAGCTAATCATAACAAATAATAATTCCAATACGCCAAGAAGAGGGGAAAAACCCAGAAAAAAGCAATCAAATTTGCAAACCTTGAGATGCTAAAGTGGCAAGACAAACATCAGAGAGCCCAAAGTTCTTTAGACTCAGTGATTCATCAAGACTACAAGAAATAACATCAAGGGAAAGCACTAATTTCTTTTTTATCAGTTTTTTTTTTCTTTTTAAAAGGCAATTTTTAGCAAATTAGGGTTAAAAAAATTGAAGGATACAACAGAGGATCTTCTTCCAAGCTCTTCATAGCTGAACTCGAGACAGCGAAAGAACTCTCCTTCGAATCCAAATTCTCCTCTTCCTCCTCATATTCAATTTCAACTTCTAATTAAAAGAAAAGAGGATAAACATTTCAGGGCAAGTTTCAACTTCATTTTTTACTGCGTAAGGAACTTCAACTAAACTAAGTAGGTAATGAAATTGTTCATACGAGGGAAGTAACCGAGAGGCTTGAGGCGATCTTCAAGGTCGAGAAGATCTGTTTGGTTCTTGTTAAAGATCTGATAACAGTGACCTAAGAGTTCCTCGAAAGAAACGGTGCCAAAGGACATGGAATCGAGAAGGTTGAGGTCGGAGGTGGCTGTTGAAACGCGGCGGTTTAGGCATTGAACGAACGTCGATGAAGCCGAATCTGAATCCCGAAAAGTATCACCAAAATAAGAAGAATTTTGTTACTAAAAATTAAGAACCGATTTAAAAAAAAAATTTAGTGTAATAAAAGAACTGGATCGAGACAGGTAGTTAACCAAGAGGGATGGGGCGGCGGTCGATTGATTGCTTGAGAGCGTCACAGCTGCTTTGCAGGTGGTTGCAGAATGAACCAAGGCTTTTACTCAAATTTGCTATCAAATCTTCCATTTTTCCAGATTGTCTCTCCCCAGGTTTGAACAAGCGAATCAAACGCTCACTCCTTTTTTATTTTGATTTGGATTTTGATTTTGTTTTCCATTTTAAGCGCCAAAAATCAAATTTTTTGTGATTTGTTTCGAAGTAAATGAATGTGTGAATGGACTGGAGAAATGCCACATGCGCCTGTGTCTCAGTGGATAGAGCGTCTGTTTCCTAAGCACAAAGTCGTAGGTTCGACCCTTAGCTGGCGCGTTTTCATCCGTAGGACCATTTTTTAACCTCCTGATTTGACTCATTGCTAGCTTATTTGGAGGAAAAACTTCATGAGGGCACATCATGAGGTAAAACAAATTCGATTGGTTCCTGAGTACAATTTGCAAAAGCTCGGATGGGCGCCGTTCATGGCTGCCGAGTTAGTTTAAGATGGAACAGAAGAGAAATAAAAAAAATACTCATATATGTACAAGTTTATGCCTTCCTGTCTTCCTCTATTTTTCATGTTTGACTGTCGCCGGATCAGTTTCAGCAGGTGAGTTCTCCTTCGAGTGCAGCAGCAGCTCTTTGAATGGCTCTAGCAACTCTCCATGTCTCATGCTGAATTGCTGCCTGCCCATCGCTTTTGCTCATTTTCACCGATTCAGCAATGGCATCTGATATTCCGGGGAAGAAAACCAATTTGCTCTCATGGTTGCTCCGAGGTCCATAAATCTTTAAAGGAAAAATGATGCAAAATGAGTTACAAAAAATGGCATTCATGTGCTTTAGACTAGTTTATTTACAAGCAAACGTTTTTAATTTTTATGTACTCATTTTACAAACCGTAATAAACCACACCTCTTAACCCAAAGGATAATGTTTTCATAGGTGATGAATGAGCTGTAGACAAGTTTTCGACAGAAAGCTAGAGCCTCACAGACTAAATGAAAAGCATTAAGTGCCATGCGTCGTCATAGAAGAAAACCATATTGCTCTATCGGTGCGTTAGACTCTGTCCCTAATAGAATTTTCAGAAAGAAAACACTTACAAGATGCCTGAACCACTCCCGTCCTTTAATTCCATCTCTATCTAAGAAGCCTCGTTCTGCAAGCATTAGCCTGTCATTCAATGCTCGCATCTTCAAAGCTAAAACATCACCAGGAAATTCTTGTTCCATTAGTGACTGCACACCAGAATGGAAGATGCCACAGCATTAGTTGATAACAACATGACAACTTGAACTATTATTCCCCCTTAGTATTCATAAAATTCCAATAAACTTCATTGCCTTTTACCTTTGCTTCATCATTAACTCGTTTAGCTGCAGATGCAAGTTCTTGAATTGATGTGGCTAGGGGAGTAAGAGATACGTTAGCATCCAAAAAACTGCTCAAGGTATCTTTATGCTCCTACATGAGATGGTCAGAAAATATTTTCAGCGTCTGCCTTGAAAAACATAAAGCAAATCTGTAAATTAGACGAAGTTGCTATCACCAAATTCTGATAAAAAAAAAAATTATTGCTTCTTCTATAATTTCAGTAGCCTCTTTCCTCATTGGAGTTTTCTTCCTTCCTAAAATAGAATGAACCAGGAGCTAGCACTGAACAAAGTTTTTAGCGCTCATTTCATTAGACTTGCAGGCTTTCATTTAAATTGTCAGACACCAGATGTGATTAGTAACCATATTACATCCATGATCTTCCCGATTTTTTTCCACGTGTTCATAAACTCATTAGAATGATTCTATTACACGAGGCATGAGCATGGTCTTTCTGTGAGAAAAGAGATGGGGGAAAGACTAGGGGAGAGGTCATTAACTCATTGATCAAACCACAACCACCAATGTTGAAGAAGAAAAATCTTCTTAATTGAAAATGAGGTACTTCAAGGAACTATATTCCAGTCAACAGGATCCAATTTTAAGTCGGTTTAAGTAAGTGGCTAACATCTCAACTCAACAGAATCCAGAAGCCTTAACTACATTATCTTAACAAGTGTACCTCTAACAATCAACAGCTCACCAAAACTTTGTAAGAAAACAGTAACAGTAGAAATATGAGGGAGAGAGGGAACAATCAGCAGTATGCACAAACATAACAAGAGAGAATAGCTTACACACCATTAACTGTTCAGCATAGGAAAGGTAATTGAGAGGTAGAACTGGATCATCAGCAAGGTGAAGGCCTAAAAGACCCCAAACTCCAGCCACTAACATGTAGAACAAAAAAGCAGTGTTATCTTGACAAGATGAAAAGGTTTTAGGTTTCATTACTAAGTCAGAGTTCCACATCTATCAAGGGATATGTTGGAGGAAAAGGAAGCTAACCAGCCACATGACGCCAAAAGAATGGATCTGCGTAGTTTATCATCCAGTTGAAGGAATCAAAAGCAGTATGATATACAGGAAAATCTGGATAAAACAAAGAAGATTCATACATTAAAAATTGTAGCATTATAGAGCCATGAATTGGCAGAGATGCACCATGTTTAAACTTTCAATCGAAAGACTGTTGATGTAGGGATAAGGATATACCTCTTCCATAGTATATATCGACAGAAGGAACCCCAGCATGTTGCAAGAAGGGTGCAAAATCAGAATCCACTTCACTGAGTCTTTCGATCTGCCAAACAGCCTAGGAAATCTCAATTAAACTGTAAGGAAACATCCTTTAATTTTTATCAAAGGACAAATAAATTAAGTACAATTGCATTGAAAATTGATAGGTCTCAAGGGAATAGATAGCAGCATTTTCCTTTTCAGGCCACTTTAGTGTCATTCTCTAAATTTACAAAGGTGCAAACTTAAGGACTACGTCGCAAGGAAAAAGGTAACCGTCTAAAGTGGGCATGGGATTTTGCTTATAATTAATCATTTCTCAAGCATTCACCTAAAATCAAAATAACAGTGTTACTCAGTAAATTATCTCTGGTAAAGTTGCCCTTCATACTCATCCAACAATGAAAACCATCATCATTCAATTGGCCAAGCATGAATGCAGGCAGCTGGCTTTCCTGGTTGATGCATAAAATGTCCACCCATGTCTAGCACTATAGGGAGCCTTAAATTTGTTCACCCCCCCCCCCCTCTTAAACCTCACCCTTATGAACTAAACCAACCGAACCTAAAACATTAAAATCACATAAGCTTGCCACATGATAAGCTCCAAGCAAGTTTGTCAAACTAAACATACAATCCCCAAGAAAGAAATATATGATCAACTATTAAACTCATGTGAATGGTAAATGACAATCTTTACATACAGATTCAATGTATATAATAGTGTACTTACAAGCTAAATAAATGAATTCAAAATTTAGAAAGATAAAGATCTTGAGGCCCTACATTGCTGACTCCATTCACGGTTGTCCACTTGTCATATATTGCACCAACTTCTGAATCAGGATCCTTGACCTGAAATTAGTTTGAATATTAGTTGAAACATATAAAAACCCAAGTCGTAATAATAATATGTAATTCACTCTTTTTTGCTTCTCTCTTCTGTCTACCTTCTTTGTGACCTCAAAAATAAGACTATCTAGCTGAGGAGTTGCCCTAGCAAAGAATCCAGGCCCTTGCACTGCACAATCTACATTAAGATAAGCCACAGCTTTTGCACCAAGATTCACAAGGTTCTGCTCAACCCACTCAGTGGAACCAATCTTAAAACAAAATAGCAACAGATAAAAATAACTTTAGAGCACTAATGGACAATTATTATAAAACATAAGCTTGTATTAAATTGATGACTCTCAAAGCCTTGTTAATGTATGTTGAAAAAAGCCTACTAAAGAGACAACTTAAATGATTGGCTAAATAGATAGTTTAAAGCGTATAGAGGAATCTAGGGCTCCATATATATGCAACACATTTACGTTCAACCAAATGATGTTCCCTGCTGTATCCACAAGTCATCAAAAAAGAGATAATTTGGAAGAGGGATTGTCATTCTATACACCGGCAGTTGGGTTAAATGGTTGCCATATGTCTATTTACTCATTATTTTATTTATTAATTTTCATAAATATACCCTAATGGGACACTTGTTAACTATCTAACCCTGCTTGAAGAGTTCAAAAACTTCATTGCCAGTGTATAAGATAATTTTCCTTTGGAAGATTCAGTGTCTAATGGCCCAATTCACTCCTCATGCAAAGCACTCTATAAAGCAGTGTTAAAAAAAGATGGAACATTACCTACCATGCCAAACTCTTCAGCATCCCAACTACAAAAAATAATTGTCCTTCGAGGGTTCCAACCATTTCGCATCAAAAGGGTATATCTTCGAGCAATATCAAGAAGTGCTGCAGTCCCACTGTTGGGGTCAACAGCACCATATGTCCATGCATCTCTATGATTCCCCAGAAGCACATAGCGATCTGGCTCTTCCAACCCTCGTATGACAGCAAATACATTATGAATTGTTGCCAACCTTTTCTCCCCCTAGAAGAATAGATCAAAAGGTAAGAATCAAGAAAGATATAGATTCAAATGAACTTTTTAGAGAATAGGATTTAAAGGCTAACTATTTTTTGCTTTACGTAAAAAATATCTAAATAACATGCATAACCAGAATTCAATTCAGTTATAGCCATAAATAAAATAAGTACAAACATCTCTTGCGTGGATCACCTATCATGCAATATTTATTCTGCCTAGGTATGCATTAATAATGTTTTCAGCCTTTTAACAAAAACATACCAGAAAGAAATGTAACCTTAACCCTAACAATTTCTGATGTATAGTTAGAGAAAATCATACAATAAAGCTGGTAGCAAATACCATACATTATGCTAGAGAACTAGATCAAAACATAAAAGTTTATTTAAGTAATGGTTATGTGACCTCATTTGGCTTCATGCAAACATAGCATAAGTATACCAGTTACAGTTGAACAGTATGTTTTCTGAGGCCAAAGAAAAATTAACCGGTTCCAATAGTGGGAAGTCCTCAGTGAGGCTTCAAAAAAGTAGGTCAAAATCACCCTAAGTATTTTCCTTCTCCTCACAAAAAAAAAAGAGAAAAGAAACAAATCACAATCCATAATGCTCAAGCACATACTGAAGGTGATTAAGGGTTCAAAATTCAGCTTAATGATGACAATTTGAGCAGATTGATCTCAATTCATTGCAAATAACATATGATTATTTTACTTTATTTTCTGCCAATTTTTACTATCTTCCTAGGCAAAAGAAGAAAGAAAAAGATATGAAAAACCCCAGACAAGAAAACATGCAAGTGGTGGTGGACACTCATACACCATGTAAAGACAAACCAAACTCCAGCCCAACTGATGCAAATTTCCTTCACTTACCAAATGGGCACAAATGACTGAATATTCAATAAAAGTCATGAATTACAGGGCTATCCATATGCAGTGATTTGAAACTTGTCCAAATTAGATCATTCCTACTTAAAAAAGTATCAATAACCACTCTAATTTATAAAACTAGCTTTTTTGCTAAAAATTGCAGTCAACAGATAAAACTATCCAGCAAAAGAAACTCTGTTTCCAGTCAAATTGTTTACATCGAAATCAATCCAAATTCAGTCTACTATCTTTCTAAATCCAATTTGACCAACTTTTAACACTAACATCAAGCACCAAAGTCAACCACTTTCCCATTGTAGACAGCATATCCAGAAATAAAATAAGCAAAAATATGCAGTAACAACAAATAAAGCAAATAAAATTAGCATCAATAATCTACCAGCCAGCCAACCAACCTGGTAAGTCAAATTCAACATAACCTGACCCGGTCCAACCCGGGACAACTTAGACCGACCGGAATACCTCCATTGTTGCGGCGCCAAAGGACCCCCAAGAGACTCTAAAATAAGCTGAGCACTCTCAAAAGACAAGGGCAAGGATGGAATTCCAGGAAACCTTTTTAAAACCTTATAGTCCTCTAAATCCAACCTCTCCCCGTCTTCAACCCCAGCCCATCCAGGACTTAAAGGGTCCCCAACTCCCTTCATAACTGTCCCTCTTTCAACTCCAAAACCAAAACTACCCCTTGAAACATTCCTTTCAGCATATATTAACACCCCCAAAGCACCTTTTTTTTCAGCTATTTCCACAACGGCTCCTCTACTCAAACTACCACCTTTTTTAACTATCACTATGCAGCCACTAACGTTAACCCCCATCCCTCCCAGGGCACGATAGTCATCTTCGCCCCCGTAGTTCACAAAAACAACATCACCCTGCGCCGTTCCTGACGGAGAATATGCATGGTATGGTTGTATCAAGCCTAAAGACGCATAACTAGCAATACCCATTTCGTTTAAAGGCAAGCTTAATACGGTGCCGTTGTTGAAATGCATTGAAATTGAAGCATGGAGAGGGTAAGACAAAAGGGCCTTAAACGGCACCGTATGGGTTTCCAAGCCAAGGTTTTCAAAGTGGGTTTTAACGTAGTGTGTCGTTTCGAGGGAAGGTTTTGTGCCGGCGAGATGAGGGTGGGAAGTGAGCGAACGGAGGTAGGAGGAGATGGTGTAGTTGGTGGCAGAAGAGAGGAACATTTGCTGGAAAAGACGGGCATTTTTGGCATTTCTTGGTGGGTAATGGACAGCGTAGAAACCTAGAATGCAGAGGATTATGAGGAAGAGAAAAGCATAGAGCGGTGACGGTTTTGAACTGAAGCTGTTGTTTGGTTTTGTAAGATTTTGAGACATTTTCTTTAGGTTTAGTTTTTTTTCCTTCTTTTTTCCTTTTTGGCTATGAATTGGGGACAGCTTTTTTTAAGGGTTTCTCGAGTGCATATGAAAGGTGGCTAGCTGAAGAGGTTTTTCATTTTGAAGGAGAAATAGGCTTCTGTTACAACTTACGAAGCTTTAAAGTACTAGACATTGTACTATAATAATGTTTTTGGAGCATAAGAACTGCTCCTATTTAATATGCCTAATCAGGTGGAGCTATGATTAGAATAAAGTGTAAAGTTTTTTTTTTTAACATGTAGGTGGGAGATATGATGGGCGAGCAGTGCAGTTTCATTTCATGCATGAAATGAAGCTCAACTGATCTGGAATCTGGACTCCGGTTTGGTAGGGTCAGGTTTCATTTTCAAAGCAGGGCCAGCGAAAGAAAGCGAAGCAACCTAAAGATTACAACGGATCGAGTTCGGTAAATTTTTACTGATCTGATTTTATATTTATAAAATTTAAATTTAATTTAATTTAATTTTTTTAAAAATTTTAAAAAATTTTAATTTAATCGATATTATATAAAATATATTTAATTTAATTTAAAATTAATAAAATATTATTTTTTAATATAAATATATATAAAAAAAATAAAAAAATAATATATATATAATCGGATCGAATTTATATAAACTCAACTTCGATCCGATCTCAATTTTTTTTTTATTATTATCAAATTTAATTCGACCTAAATTTTAATTTAAAAAAAATTAATTTTATAAAATCGAATCGAAATCTACATAAAATAAATTGAATTACCAACTCTAAAGAAACCACATAACAATATTGTTCTTTTATAAAAAATTTTTTCTTTACGAAAGAGAGAAAGAAATTGCAAGAACCCAAAATTCAGCAAGGGGGTTCTTCTGCATTTATGATCCCACCCTGTTGTTTGGAGATAAAGATGGGGAATTTGGAATTTACGACATTCCATGCATTAAGGCAGATTGGTGTTTTTTGGATGTTTTCAAGGTTTATTCATGCATTGTGAACTCACTTTTCTTTCAAATGATTTGTTTTCTACCCCTATGATGGCAACTTCCATTATCAATTTGCTGGCTTAAACTAATGATTCCTTCTGTCTTACCACCTTGTTCCTTTTACAATCCTCGAATTTAAAAAAAAAAAAAAGAAATAAGTTGGGGCATTTAAACATGTATAGATTGTACTATATTCAGTATCATATTAATTAGGGCCGACGACAAAGTTTTAGACAACAAATTAATACTATAATCAAAAATTTCTTTACGAAAAAGGTCTATTTATAAAATGAGATACAAACTTTAAATTTATTAAAATATTTTTATAAAAATAATTATGTAAATTAGTTAAATTAAATTTCGAGTTTATTATTATAATCAAAGTTATCAAAGCTTTGATCATCACTACAAACAGTAAAACCGAGTAAAATTTTCCTTTTTAGAGAAGCAATATTATTGTTTTTAATCAAAATGAAAACTGATGATGTTTATTCTTAAAGGTAAAAACAAGTTTTGGAGTCTTTTCATTTCGACATACTAATGTCTAGCCAATGGATGCTTTTCATTTGGACTGATTAACCCATTTGCCGGTGGATTTTTTATTCTTGCACTGCTCCAACCTCCAAGTTGCATCTCTTCTGTACCTCTCATGATTTTGATATTTGCTTTCCTCTAGCCATTGCCTTGAAACTCTTCTTTTTTTTTTTCCTGCTTTCTTTAAGCCCCATTTGATAATAAACTAAGTATTCGTGATTTTTCTCTGCAGTTCAATGATTGGGACAATATGCAAATGGCCTAAGCCTTTTCCATTCATCTTTGTATTCTCTAGTAGAAACTGGACTCAACCCATAGTTCTCAGCACAAACCATCATCAGAATCCTTTACCATGTAAGTTAGTTAACACCACCAATCATTTTCACCTATCAATTTTTTTAGATTTTCATAGAAACCAGCCGGAAATTTTCACCTAGGTTGCATTCCTGCAATTGGGATAAGGCATAAATGTGAAAGGGACTGCTTCAATGTCCATACTAGGCAGAGAGAGGAGTAAGTTAATGGTGTACTACATGTCCCAATGCTCTTAACTAAAATCCTGATATAATAATTTAATGCATAGTATCAGTTCACCGTTATTCTCTCTCCAATTTAATGAAATGTGTAGTGTCAATATTTATATGTCTAGCGACGTTTCTTTTCTTATCTTTTGTGGGATCGAAGCATCAACCAACTCCCTTAGACAGTGCATAGCTTCCCCACGGCAATATCTTTGTTTTAGTGACATATCTTTATAAGATACTAAGAATAACCCAACTTGTGGCCATAAATGAACAAAAAAAAAGAGAGTTCGTCATGGCTACGTTTATAAAAGAGACTTGAGCTTTTTTGATCTCGTTCTTTTAATTCATCTGTTTGTAGTGAAAAAAAAAAAGAATGACAATCATTGTCCCCTGCTCCTTTCATGTTCACTTTCACTTTGGGTGATCTAATTTACCAAAAAAGCAAGTCGCTTTCTCCATGAAGTGGATGCCCCATGCTTGAGTGAGTGGGGAGAGCAATATCTTTATGCAGTCCAAAATGTCCCTCACCTGAAAAAGATATATGCCAACATATAAATAATGCAATCATGGAAGATGCCTTGCTTTTTTGCAGGGGGACCTCCTTTAAAAACACAGTGCTGTTGCAGAAACAATTTCAATGTCCAATTGCAATGATCCATGTAGCCATGAAACTTTCTGATTAATGGACATGAACAAGATTGCCTGACCTCAATGACCCTATGCCCACTCTCTTGTACCATGGTCCCGGGCCCCACTTTAAAGCTTTATATCAAAAAAATGTACAAGAGACATATTCTTCATTTTTATGTTTGCCTTCCCATTGAAGCCAAAATAAACATTTGCAGAGCCAAACCAATTTACAGGGATTTGGCAGTTAGGCAAAATTTGGATGGAGCTTGTAATCATTAATATTGAAATTTATCAGTCAGCTGTTAGGTGAACCAAGTATATATTCAACATCTGCAATTAAAAAAAAAAAAATTGAGAGCACCAACCCTTTATTCAAACCACAATGCGAATTTGAGAATTCTGCCAAATTTTGACAGAAAAAGGAAAAGAAAAAAGAAGAGATGAGAGAGAGAGAGAGGGAATATTTGCTTGTTGATCACTGATGAACATATTTACAGACATTGAAATTGCATAACAGGGATATGTCTGCAAAAAATGCCTTACAGTGGTACTGTCTAGCAGCTCGAGTTAACCACTCAAGTGCCAATAAAGTTGCCATTCCCAGCTTGTCAGGATAGATAGGTGGGCCAATTCAATGTTTCATGGGAATGACCTCACAATTATCATATCTTAAAATTGCTGAACACCTTTGCTTTTAAACAGAATAGGACATATATTCCTAATAAATAATATGAAACACTAAAACTTGATGAAGTTTGCATATAGGGCATTCAGGTTTTATATTTCTCATGTAAAATATCTACATGGTAGGAGAAAATCTGATTTTATTTGAAATCTACTGAAACCAAGACTTTTTTCAGATTCCAACTATGGTGTTATATGAGCCATAAACTGCAAAAAGCAATCCGCACAACAAAATGACAATATCCAAGGTTTTTTGCCAGAAACTCAAAGAAGAACCTAACAAAGTTAGGTGAAATGAAGCTGGCAAAACAAACGAGATCAGTGCACATACAGTACTCCCGACAAGCGAGGCAAATACACCAAATCCTGGAACGTATGACGCCAAGACTGCCAAACCGATTACCAGAACTGCCCTACTGATGTATGTTCCTAACTTTCCTAATCTTGTAATTGAAGTTTCAGCATCATTGTTGTGGAGATTCTGGAACCATATATTTTTCTTCAACTTCCCCTCCAAGATTTCATTAACAGGGTGTACCATGATTGGGAATGTAAATACTAGCCCCAGGCACAAGCCAATCTGTTGCGAAGGAGAACAAATTCAATATATCAGACTTATTGTTTATGAAGTGGCAGCAGCAAATGTAGGATTAAAGAGGATTAAATGTTGTAAGCATTAAAAAGCTTGAAGTAAATTAAACAAAACTTAATGTAATTCAAAGCCCAGGAAGCAGGAAACATGAAAAATGTAGGGGAATCTATGACATCAATGTTTTCACCATTGTTATAGTTCTGGAATAACCTTGAAATTGTAGGAAGGACCTATAAGCAACCTGAATTAATCTCCTAGTCACAAATGCAATTGCCAGGTCTCATCTTGAACAATTACACAAAAGATTAAGTTCTAAGCCATGACGTTAAAGTCTAAAAAAATTAATCTGAATGATATGCTATGATTAAGATGCAATACATATTGCAATATTAGAAACAATCCTTTTGGCAATAAAGATCTAGAACCGCATAGGGTATTTTTTAAATTCACTGATCTCTATATAAACTGGCAATACCTGTTAAGATGATCCGCTAAATTTTTATATTAATATGCTATATGCACTAGAATGAGATAGTTAAAAGCAAAAGACAATCACACTACAGGTTCCAATACCAGCAGCACCTAAAAATTATGGGATTAGGACAAAGTATACAGATAAGCAGGCAGAATTTTATGTGTAGCAACAGATGTCGAGAACTATTTATAATTTCTAAAGATGTCACTTGGAATAAAATAAGCTTCTTAAATTGTGGGTGGGATGGGCAATAGGGCCTTTTACTATAGGAAAAAGTTACTATGGATGAATATTTAAGCTACATAAGTTTCTAAGCTCTAAATTTGTGCCTGAAAAGTAGAAGTGAATAAGTACAAGAACAAAAGCGAAGCACAATCAGCAATGCAAAAGATTTGTGCAAATTACCTGGACTGTGATAGCTGTCCAATTCTTGGGAAGATTTAGCGTTATGATATCTTTTGTTTCATCACCATAAGCCATGTAGCCCAAAATCCCAAATAAAACATATACAAGTGTGATCCATGTAAAAGCCATGGCCAACACCTTAGAAAATGTCCTCCTCTCTTTCATAGATGCCTCCAGAGCCAGTGTCATTCCAAACCCCTCAAAACAGAACACTGCCATCCCTCCTGCGAATGGCAACCCCCCTAAGTTATCAGTGATGGCCTTCCTATCTCTAAATGAAAAATCTCCCCCAATTGCCTGTTGTATATCTTCTTTAATAACAAACCCCATTGCTAACACATTGCATATATCGGCGAAAATGCTGAATGGTGCAAAGGCTGAGAGGGATCCAATCCATGACAATGCAATTTCAATTGGGACTAACCAGAATATGTAAGATGCAATAGTGAAGCTATGGCCATTGAAAACTGATGCAAGGTTTTGTCCAATGAATACCAAGTATGCTACAGATCCTCCACATTGGGAGATTAAAATGAGAAATTCTGTCACGTAACGGCCTGGCCTTCCTATGCACCTGTAACCCAAGTCACCATATGTTGTTGTCCCTGTTAATTTTTTTTCTGATGCTAATTTATCCCTGCACTGAACCTGTGGACCAAAGTTAAAAACTTAAAAAGCAACTTTTCAATAAGAAAAGGAAGATTAAAAGGAAGAATAGAAAAAAATTTAATATTTGTATCAATAAAGCGCATCACTTGGACAACCAGCAAAAACCTCACTGACTCGTTCACTTTTTATATCTCTAAAAATCTTTTGTTAAGGGTTCTATACAAAGTTCAAATTTGTATAGACAAAATTGGTTTTTGGCACTGAATATCTTTCCCCAAGAGAAAATTGACCAAATATCGAGGTAAAAAGTTCTTAAAACAATGAAGTTCTTGATTCCTAAGAATATTTTGCAGGAAAAAAACACCTGTTTTCCCAAGAACCAAACAAAGCAATATTGAAGAAGGAAAGAATTAATACTAACAAGGAGGAGCATGCAGTAGAAAGTAGCCAAACCAGCAATGATAACACCGAGTGATCCAGCAAGCCAACCGGCGATCCGAAAAGCAAAAGGAAGGCCTAAAACGCCGGTTCCAACTATTGAAACTATGATGTTCCCTATAGTTTGAAGTTTGGATGCACTTCCTTCTGTTGCTGTCGATGGTGGTGGATTGACCAGAGGGATTCTATCAGAATTTTTCTCCTCCATTCTTTTATTTGATTCGTTGTAGTTTGAGAGCTACTTCCTGGTCTCTTTTGGTCTGTTTTTTCAGTTTCTCGAAAAGATAAACAGCCAATAGGGTTCAACTTTTAACCAGTTCCGTGGCAAACCAGGAGACCCAGGCCACTCTGGCTTGTATTGTGCCACGTTGCTCTTCTCAAGCGGTAAAGAACTTGCAATTTTCAGTGAAAGATGAAAGATCGAGATCTATCCTCCAAGGATGAGATTTTGGATGGATGTCTAATGAGACAAAACAGAGGGGTAGATCTAAATGATTTGTTACCATTTTTTACACAGCATTTCTAAATTTCATGCAGCTGTTTTAGTAATGCGGTTAGCTAACTTTGGCAACTAAATCCATGATAGGATTTTGATTTTCTGAAAGTTTGTATATATAATTCGAATCCACAGATTTGATCAAATGCAAAATGCAAGCAACAGAAAAGGAAGTTACGAAAATGAAAATGTATTTTGTAGGCATATATGTTTTTAACAGATAATTAAGGTTCACTGCACTATGCTTTTATTAAAATTTTAAACCGTTTTTTTTCATATGATATAACCATATCTGTTATAAATTATCAGATGATACTTTTACCCATACCAACCGAATAAATTTGCAAGATTTAAGGACCTGCGGCTGTCATAGAAACTATTGTTATTAATGGGAGTTGAATAAGAAACGATACGGCAGGCGATAACAACAAAATGTTAGTGCGTTCTGTCCTTAACATGGTAAATTTCCACTGCAAGTTGACAACTCGACAAGGATTTCCAGCGGATGGGGCATGTAGAAATTAACTGTATCATCTCCCCTACACATCGTGGAATGACCCTTCTGATTTGGTCCTGGTTCATGTGCATACTAAATTTTGGAATAAAACTGCGAAATCTAATATAAAGTCATCCTTTCCCACCTGGTTGGTATGATATCTAACCCAAGTAACCGCCTTAAAATACATGCATCCGTCAGAAGGTAACAACAATCTGAGATCTCACTCACTCGTGTCTTGCTGTGTTCAGAAACTGAATATCTACAACAACTAAAAATATAAACCTGCTCTATTCTTCAATTTCTCCCTTCTAATTCAGCAATTGCAACTAGCTCCAGGAACATTTATGAGGCCTCGACGCGAAACGGCTGACAGACACAGTCAATAGCATGGATCAGTTTTCTCCTAGGACCAACTGCATCTGCACCCATATCCTTAAGCTTTTGCATATTTAGATTCACCAACTGAAATTTATTGATACTTTTGGCCTGAAAAATCCTTACAAACTGACCTAATCCTAGAGATGTCAGCCACCTGCTCAACCCACCAGCCTGTTGAAGCTTCCTCTCAAGATTTGACACCCTCAGCCTTCGGTTCAGTAATATGCTCCCAGAAAATGGGACATTAGGGCAATGCATTGATCTTGGCCTCTTGATAGTTTTTGAGGCTTCAGGCACTCCATGTATTTTATGAGATTTTAAAGAAAACACCCGACCTGGATTCTCTGACTCCACTCTAAGACCTAGAGATGGAGACTTGGCGGAAGTTGAAATATACTGAGCAGGAGACCTTCTAGCAATTTCAATACAATTTTTATGAGCCAATGAAGTGGACTTCTCTCGTCCAGCCTCAGACGGTAACTTGGGAGACATTTGAACAGAGAGCTTTGATTGGTCCTCCACTTTTTTTTGAGGCTTGGCTTCTAGTTGACCAGGTCTCTGATTTGCCATTTTTGATTTCTTAGATGCAGGTAATGGAGGTAGAAGAATGGTGACTCTCTGCTTTTTAACTATAACCCAACCATCTTCTCCAAGCAGGTCCAACTCAATGTTGGGGTTTGAAGAGTCCAAGCGGCCACCTTGAGTATTTTTCTTGTTTGAATTATTAGCTGCTAACTGCCTTTGCTTTGATTTCACCATTAGCACACACCTGTCTGATATATATGAGGCAATAGACTAATGACATTTAATATTGCAACAAAAAAAGTAAAGCACATGGATGAAAAAAGAAAACTCAAATATTTATATGATCAGAAACAATGAGACATATAATGGCAGCACAAAATCAATTATGAGGACCAACAAAGACTTCTTTATTTATTTTTCTTCATCTTTAATTGTGAACCAAAATTACTGTGTAAAGAACATGGATGCAATGAGAAAAATAAAGTAATTAAGTATTTCCGAAGTAATTATTAAATTGTGTCATTTGACATAGATTACCAACTCCATGTTTCACTGCTTGGGTCTTGCAGCACATATAGAACACTTTAATCATCCAATCAAACTATAATGTCATATTCATGTGGTGCAAAGACATATATCATATTATCCCATTGTTGTTAAAATTTTCATTTTTCTTCTTTCACCAAATTTCATTTTTATTACCCTAGAATCAAGTCTGTATCAAATTAAAATGAAAATATTCTTTTATACTATCAATAATTGATAAAAAATGTCCTATAAGAAAACAGAATCCAAGTATAAGTAGGTTGAGATTCTAGATCATGACCACCCTTTTCATTTGCAAAATAAGTACAACTAATTGTACTCCTGCAACAGCTAAAATGTGAAAAGAAGGAAACCTTCAAAACGAATCCTATCATATGAAATGGTATATTTACAGAAAGTAATAAATCAATCCAACATTAAGAAAATCTCTGCTCATTGCAGCTATGGAAAGCACATAATTTGTTTCATAAAAATACACTGGTGGGTAACTTGATCATTTTTCATGAATACACTCGGCTTCTCAGAACTCAGAAGCAGCATTTTGAATTATTCATCACAAGAACATATCGCTAAGACTCATAGAGTGGGATGCCTACAATAGATATTATGTTTCCAGCAATGTTTTGCAGATGCCAGTAATCAGGCTTATTTACATGGAAATAAAAGAATTTACGAAGAGTTTCAAGGCAGTTCATTTGTACCTACAGTGACATTACCAAGGAAACAGTTATTATTTTGCAAAACATTTCCCCACAGAATGCATCAATTAGCATTTTGGTAATTCCCACAGCTTCAGCATCATTTATCTAAAACAATTCTTATGCAAAACTTCTGTAAGAATTAATGCAGCTACAACCAACTAGCTTTCAATATAAACGTTTCCCCACAGAATGCATCAATTAGCATTTTGGTAATTCCCACAGCTTCAGCATCATTTATCTAAAACAATTCTTATGCAAAACTTCTGTAAGAATTAATGCAGCTACAACCAACTAGCTTTCAATATAATCATTGTATAATACAAATTACAACATTCACAAAGCAGATTTCATCCGGAACGCCCCAACAATTAGAACTTGAAGGTCTCAATTTCAAACGAAGGCCTGGGAGGACGGGACAAAGCTACTTTCCCTAATAATAAGCATACCATAGGTGAGACAACAAGCACTCATAACTGACAGCCATTGAACATACAACAACAAGCCATTGCATCAACTCACTAATAAAACCAATAGACAAACTTTAAAAAATATATATATACAAAATAAACTGCAAGGACTTTTTATTGTGCTATTCAGAACAAAAAATCCTGGAAAATCAAATGGGGTTGTTCCCAAAACAAGCCTTAAGAAAAACATCTTTGAGAATATATAGAATGGATCTCATCAAATAGATAAATACAAATGTCAATAGAACCCCCAAAAACCAAAACAAGAAACAGAAAAAAAGTCTTGGTAAACAAAAATGGGACTGACAAGAATCGGATTTTGGAACCAAAAAATAAAAAAGGAAGGCAAATAAAACATCTACCACAAACATAAGAAGGATTTGGTTTCTTACCTGGGCTGTGATTTAAGAGAAACTGTGATGATTGGAATGGGATTTTTATTTATATCGTGTTTATTTTGCAGAGAAACAGGGGAGAGAGAAGGATCAAGACTCGAAGGGGAACAACAAAGGAGAGAGAATTTTCTTGTCTTGTTGAATGGGGATAAGGGAGGCCTACTTCAGGAATTGACGCCTTTTTTCTTATTGAATCAGATCAGCCCACTAAGCAATGGATGATGGGCTCTAATTTAGTGTTTTGATTCGCAACATTAAAATAAAGCTGCTGACCCTTTCACAGAACTGAAAGAAGGAGAATTTGCAAGGTTTTTATATACATTTATAAAAACGAATTTAAAAGAAAATTTTATGTAAATATATTTGTTATTTTTTATAAAAAGAAAACTAATAAATCAGTTCATTTTTTTATTTTATGTCAACTTATTAAATGCAAATTTTATTTTTTTATTTTTATTTTTTAAATTCAAATATGATTTTTGTTAATTTAAATCATATTAATTTTAATTTTTTTGTACGATTTCATATCACGATGTTACTTAGGATAAGTAATCCAATCGAATTCATCTTATTTTAATCAAATCTGATTTTACAAAATTGATTTAATTTTTAAAATTAAATTTTAAATTGAATCAAAGTTGAGTTTTAAATAAATTCATTTCACTGTTATTATATATATAATATTTTTATTATTTATTTAATTTTATATTTGTATATATTTTATGATTTATATATTTATTTAATTTTTTATTTATATTAAAAATAATATTTTATTAATTTTAGATTGAATTGAAAATAAATTTATATATATAAATTGAATCGAATATAAAAAATAGTATTTTAATATAAATAAAATTGAATTTTAATATTTATTTTATAAAATTAAATTAATTTTAAATTTAAAAACCCGACCCGACCCATCAGTTGCCATTTCTAATATAGCGTACGCCTTTCCAAAGAGTAGGGGCGCAAAAAGTCTGACATCCCACAACTTTTATAATTTTGGACAGCCACATTATCTAGTTATGTACGCTACAGTAAGTAGCAAGTTGATCGACAGAGACTAGGCAAAAAATCCATTATTGCTCAACCTAAATCTACCCTCTGATTCCCACCACATCTGCTCAGCGCGGTGGGGCTATGGACTGTCAATGAAGGGGATTCCTTTTATTTCATTTTCTAGTGGGTTGGCCCAAAAAAATGTGGTTGTAGTCTTATTCTTGAAAGGTATCACATCGAACTTTAAAAAAGTGAACTTTTTTAGAGCATTATCAAAATAAATAAATATATTTATTTATTTATGGAAGAGGGATGGGCCCGGAAGATTTAATGATTGCAGGGTGTCGGTTGGAGATTGGGAAAGGGGAGTCCTATATATAATGGCTACTGACAAATTAAGGCAAAAAAAAATCAAATGGATTTTTTTTATTAAATATATAACTATATTATATTATTTTTATATCATACTTTAAACATAAATTTTTTAAGCGACAACATAAGCTTCAATATTATTTTATAAAAAATTATTTGATATATTATTAATAAATTTTTTACTTTTTAAAGATTAAAAAATAACATATATTTTATTTTTTAATTAATTTTGTTCATATACTTTACAAAATATATATCATCCTTAATTTTTAGTAGAATTTAAAATTTCATTATTAGACTTAATAATTTTTTATTTTATTTTATGTATAATTTATAAAAGTATTTTATTTGCAATTACTATAATATAATTAATTAATTTAAAATTATATAAAACTCATTAAAATTTTATATAAAATCATACTTATAAATAATAGTCTCTTATTTAATTTTTTATTATAATTAAATAATTATAAGTAATATACTTTGTATTACTGGTTGACATATATATTTTCTTTCCTTACATATAATTATTTAAAAAATATTTTTATAATCTATTATAATTACGATTTGTTAAATGAACAAGAGACGTCCGAGTAGGATTTTGAACCAAATAAAATTTTATTTATGTTCGGTCCGATTTAGTAAATAAATATAAAAATATTATTAAAAATTATTTATTAAATTTAATAAATAAATAAAAAGCAAATATACTAAACGTATCGTCAACCCATCCCTAGTTCAAATTAACGTACAACACTAAAAACATTTCTGGCATGTGTTTGCAACAAAACCGTCTCCAAATCTTTATTCAAACTTAATTACTTCATACAAACCATGGAATTTCAACGACACGTTGAAAACGCCAAGTGATAGACAATAACTTAAAACGGGAGCCTTGCAATTTCAACAAGACAATGAAATGCAGTGGGATTTTACCTTTTAAGCCTAAAAGTTGATTGCAGCCCTGCGATTTCACAAAGTGGAAAAGCAATGGGCGCCGGAACCTAAATCTAACACAGTCTTGCAAAAAGCAAGCATTATTCGAGGCAGCAAACAGAGAATTATTCAAGCCCAGATACTGCAATAGTAGTAAGCAGTAGTAGCTTTCAGTGGTTAATTGGGTTCAAGAAATGTGAACCCTGATCCACTGAGCCTTTCTTCCATGACGTTGTCAAGTTGCTCTCCCATCTCAGGGGTCAGATAGTTTTTCCAATCTCCAATCTTCCCCTTTCGGAAGTACACATTGTTGTTAATTCCAATGTCGGCATTTCCATATTTCCCGGTCTTGTTGACCTCCAGGTTGCTCAAATTTTCCAGGCTGCATAACCTGATAATTTTTTCCACTGCGCCATATTTTTCTTCCTTGGAAGAGAAAGGCTGCCCCAGGAATTCAGCCAATTTCTTCACCTGAGGAATGGTGTCCCTCAATAAATCTTCATATCTCATGAAAAGAACCTTCTCTGGGTTTTCTTGGCTTGCTTTCCAGTATCCCAAAACATGGTCCCAATAAGGACCAAAATTTGATCTTCCTTTGCAGTACAACTGAAACGCAACATCAATCGGAAGATTTGGGTTGTTGTTCACTTTTATACCCTTTGCAAAGTGCCACAGGGAAACAAATGCATCCTTGGGATCCCTGCAAATGTAAACAAGTTTACAACCTGCATCCAGAACGGATTTAGGCAAGGCAGTGTAAGGAAGGTGAGTGGCCACGAGAGGGAGTCTTCCCTGATCAGTCTGAGTTGGGTTCTCGATGAAATCTTTTTCCAAGAACATGATGCAATCATGGGGAACCTTGTTGAGCAAAGGGCTGTTGGACTCATCGACGCAGTTCCTGGTCACGATTGCAACACTGAGGGCCTTAAGCCAAGTGGTTCCGGTCTTTGGAGCGCTGCACAAGAGAACATCAGTTGGTTGAGCCTTGAAATGGTGTTGAGCAAACATGCCTCCTTCAAGGTGGAGAGGGAAGCACCAGAAACCTTGGTAAAAACAAAGATGCTGGAAAACATTCCAGCCATTTTCTGTAGGAAGAGTGGAGATGATCTCTTTGAATGTTCCTGGTGTTTTTGGTGAGCCATTTTCTACCTCACAGGTTTCCATAGCTATGACATCAACAAGGGAGACGAGTTGTGCCCTGTGAGCTGGAGAAGGATATCATGTAAGGGCAAAGAAAAAAAAAAAAAAAAAAAAAAACAGCGCCACAGGTTGCTAAGTTGAAAGTTTAAACAATCAGAGCAAGGGTTATAAATATATCACAAGCAAAAATGATACGCAGAGCAAAATCATGAATCAATAAAAAAATATAAACCTCACTTAACTTTTCAAATTGATTAGTTTTAACTCTGATATTGGAGTGAAACACTTCTTATACATAATATATCATCAAGTCAAATTATCAGAGATCCTCTCTCTTAATCTGAGGTTTTCATACATAATAATATCATCAAATCAAATTCTCGTTTATTCTTATACTATTTAATATGGGTTAATTTTAAAATTTTATGCCTTATTTTAGGTTGGAACATTTTATTTGTCTCAAAGTTTTTTTTTTTTTTTCAAGCAATAAATGAGAACAAAAGAGGACCCTGCAAATTTATTATATAGAGAATTTTTTTAAATAATACTGAAATCAGTGAAATCTTATCCTCATTTAATTTTTAAGCAGTTAAAAGAATTGTTTCGATATATTTTTTAAAAATTTAAATATTTTTTTATAAAATTGATGTTCCTGTTTTCTTAAGCAAAATATATACTAAAAATAATTTTATACTTCATCCGTCTAATGTGTTATGTTTTATTTTGATTTTGTGCAAAATATAAAAAGATTTTAAGTTGAAATTTATTTTAAATTACCATTATTTTGAAAAAAATATAATAACTATAATTTAAATATAATAAAAAATAAATAAATTTTTGAGTCATTTTTTTGTGACAAGGTCCACAAGAAAAAGGTTTAAAAATTTTTAAATTTTTAAATTTTAAATTCAAGTTTTATTATGTATAAGTTTAAATGTCCAGTTATATTTTAATTTATTAATTAATTATTAAGTAATTATAATTTAATTATGATCTAGTAATTAATTATTTATAAAAATATAATATTTAATTATAATTGTAAATTCAAGAAAAATTAAAAATAAAAATGTTAAGTATTAAAAAAAAAAGGAGAAACAATATTTAGAAGTACCAAAAAAAAGAAAAAAAAGGAAGGTCATTGCAGACAATTTTTTTGCCATTTATCTAGCCAACAGTCAGGTCATTGCCAGTATTATTAATGATTTCGCATATGGAACCGAGGGGAGCAACTGACTCCATGGATGAGAAGGAAGAAATTGTCGAACTTGTCTCGCCGGAGGCCATAGAAAAAGTGACGGAATTCATGTCAACTCTTCCTACAGAGCATGGGTGGAATTCCTTCCAGCCTCTTCGCTTGTATCAAGGCTTTTGGAGTTTCCCTCATTTCCTGGAAGGCATCGTTTTAGCTCAACAATATTTCAAGCCCAAACCAGGTGATATCTTTGTTTGCAGCGCTCCCAAAAGCGGCACCACTTGGCTCAAGGCTCTGACTTTTGCCATTGTCACTCGAAAACTTTTCGATAATGCCAATAGCCCTTTGCTTAGCAAGGGTCCCCATCATTGTGTGCCAACTTTTGTGGGTTTTGGCCTGAAGCCCGATATACGTGAGCCAGGAATCCCACTCATAGCCACCCATGCCCCCTACCATTCCTTGCCCAAATCTATTCTGGATTCTGCTCATGCTAAGATTGTTTACATCTGTAGAGACCCAAAGGATGCATTTGTTTCCATGTTTCACTTCGCAGCCAAGCGGAGACCCAAGGAAAATGAACCCGTTTCCCTGGAGGAGGCTTTTATTCTTTTCTGCGAAGGGAAGTCTGTTTTTGGACCTGCCTGGGACACATTTTAGGTTACTGGAAAGCTAGCCAAGAACAGCCAGAGAAAGTACTGTTCCTGAAATATGAAGACATGATGAACGATTCTGAGTTGTATGTGAAACAATTGGCAGAGTTTACGAGGTACATACACCGAATTTTGTCCGAATTTATTAGATTAATTTTTATCTTTAAGTTTTGTTTATTAATATTTTCGATATTATTATAAAAATATAATAATTAAAAAAACAAACAAAAACGACAAAAAAAAAGACAGATAGGATTGGCAATGGGTCGAGTTGAGGCGGGTTTTTGCTCGTCTCGACCCTGACCTAACTTCATATCCTTCAAACTCGATCCTGATCTTACTCGAAATTTTTTTAATTTTTTTTCATTCCCGAACCTGACTCGACCTGATAGTGTATAAATCGTATCCGACCCGACCCTGACCCTGACCTGATATTAATAAAATATTATTTTTTAATATAAATATTTAAATATATAATTATATAAATATATATAAATAAAAAATTATTTTAAAAAATTATTTTTTATAATATTGGGTCGAGTTGGGTCGAATTTATCTAAAACCCGACCTCGACCTCTTCTTAGCACTATCTTACCCGACTTGAAACTCGATTTAAAAAAAAAAAAATTGACCCTATGGGTTCAAGTCGGGTCGAAACCCGTCAGGAGCGGGTTGGGTTACCCACCCTAAACACAGAAGTGTCAGTGGTACCTTGCACGATACCATTAGCCACCTACCCCTGCCAACACCACCTTACTGGCCACATCCATACCCTACCAGCACCATGCCCCATACCCTGGAAACACACAAGAAACCTTAGCTTTCCATCTCCTTAAAGCTTTTGCTTCCTCTCCCTTTCAGCTCTCCTTTTGGACACATCATCGAACACAAACTCAGATGCCCAAAACCCTCAGCACCTGCACTCAAACCAATAGCCACCACCAAAAAACCCCTTCAGACTCTAGTCTTTGTGCCTGCACCTAAAGATCCAACACCCAAACTTGACCTTACCTCAGTTTTCAGCCTTTACACACGCACGTACACACACACACACACACTAAAGCTCTCCCCCATCCCCACCTACCAGAAAAAAAAACCAAAAACAAATCTACAAAAACTAAAAAACAAAACAAAACACAGTCCTCCCATATAGAGGAGCCTCAGATCTAAAAGCCATCTGCACAAAAGAAAAAAAGATAGTCAGTGTAGGTTTAAAAAAAAAAAAAAAACCTCAAGAACTTTAAACTCCAATGTATGTCGATTGGGACAGTTTCTCACAAAAGGAAGATCAGATTTAGAACGATGAGGTCGAAGAGAGCTTTCAAAAAAGTTTTGATATTTTTCGACAATCGGTGACTACCGACAGTGACCGCCAGAGGTGACCCAGAAGGCGATAGGCGTGGTGGTCCGGCGTCGGATTCTGGCTAAGCCAAAGAGTTTTCTGGAGCTGGAGGAACTTTTTTTTTCTAAAAGGAAGATGTAATGAACCCAAAAAAAAGGTTGGCTTTTATATAGAAAGCTAGAAGCAAAACGACGTCGTTTTACTTAAAGGAAGAATATACGCGTTCGACCCGCTTATCCGTTTCAGTCACCTTGAACCGATTCAAACGAACCGTCAGTGAACCGGTTTGCACCAGTATGAACAGTCGAACGTCGAGCCGATTAGACCGACGTTGATTGGACTGTTGACCGGTCCGATTCATGTATTTTTTTTATTTTTTATATATTATTATTTTTATTATTTTGAGCTTTATTTTTAATATTCATGCATGATAAATTTTTTAAATTTGTTAGAATAAATATTTAATTATTTTTAATAATAATAAAAATAAAAATAAGTAGGATAATAATTTTAAAAAATACTAAAAATACTTAAATAATAATCTAAAAATTAATAATAATAGAATATTTTTATTTTTCCTTCCTAGATGTTGGAGGGAATAAAAAAAAATAATTTTACTTAGATATTGAAAAATTATATAAAAAAAATCTGCATAGATTTTGGAGATTTTTAGAGATGTTCGCATTTTAAAATTTATTAAAATTAAAATCAAAACCTAAAATTTTAAAATCCCTAAACCAAAACCCTAAATTGAAACTCTAAATCTAAAACCCTAAAATTGAAACTCCTAAAATCCAAAACTCTAGAATCCAAAACCCTAGAATTCAAACCTTTAAATTCAAAACCCTAAAATCCAAATCCCAAAACTTTCAAAACCTAAACCCAAAATTTCTAAACCCTAAAATTAAAACTCCAAACCTCAAATTTTAAAACCAAAACCCTAAAATCTATAAACCTTAAAATCAAAACCCTAAACCTTCCATACCCTAAAATTCAAGCCCTAAAATCCAAACCCCTAAAGGCAAACTCTAAAACCCTTAAAACTCAAACCAAAACCCTAAAATCCGAATCTTCAAAATCTTGAAACCCTAACCTTTAAAACCTCTACTCAAGGTCTTACTCAAAACCATTCTGAAACTCTAAGAATATGCGTAAAAATCTCAAGTTGAGTAATTTATTCCGAATGCCTCCTAGATAATGGGGTATTTAGGAAACTTTATTCCATTAAGTTTTTCAAACGGCTCTTTTAATTCACTTTAACAATGGAGTTAATAATTGATTAATAAAAACGTATAATAATAAAATGAGATCTTAAATATAAATAGTCCACCTAAGCTCTGTCTAGATGTTGGAGAGTCAAGATAGTCTCATTATATTTAAGAATCCATTTGTTTGTATTGCATAATATTCATTGGCATACATACGTTATTATGTTATCATTGGCAATCATTTGCATTCTTTTATCTTTAATTTTATTTATTTATTTACTACTTGGTGATAAAATATTTTATAATAAAAAGGAATAATACATTTTTTTAAAATTTTATGATATTATAAAATTAAAAAAATAAAAATAACATTTCGAAGGAAAATTATTCTTGGTACTCTGCCTAGATGTTGGAGAGTCACCAACAATTATCTTCTATAAAGAGTGTTATTTCATTTTAAAGGGATATTGTATTAAATCTCAAGTGAAAAGAGTTATCTTAAATTCTACCTAGATGTTAGAAAATTTTAAGATAATTCTTTAACTTAAAGATTTTCTCAATATTTTTAAATAAAAAATTTTAGCAAAAAAATATATATTTTAAACGAAGGTAATTAGTATTAAATTTCAAGTCAAAACCATTTTATTTAACATCGAAAATAGCGCATGATTAAATGGTACCAATTTATGGGCGTTGTGGGGGTGCTAATCCTTCCCCACACGTAATCGACTCCTGAACCCAACCTGATTTTTGTAGATCAAAATTTATCTTTTTTATAAACTTTAAACCCGCTTTTAGAGTTTTATTAAAAAGATAAACTTTTGGGTGATCAATCACACCATAAAACAGATTGGTGGTGACCTTTTTTTATTTTTTCCAATCTTAAAACACTTTATGTCTGACGGTCCCAAAATCGTTATGACAGCTTGACAACTCCACTAGGGACTGTTTGAGAATCAGGTCAAATTTTAATTA